TTTTTTTTTTTTTTTTTCTTTTCAGTGGAAATTAAGCAGCTCTCACACTGAGGGGAAATTGTTGCCCTGAAAACAGAAACGGATGGTTTAAAATGATTGTATTTCATTATAACTTGATATGATCAATTTTTTTGTAAAATAAAATAAATAAATTTATTGAAGACTCGCTGATACTTATAGTTTATCTAATTGCAAATATTTCTGTAAATTTGTAATTTTCTGTGGGCTATGCACAAATAAAATTTAATGTTCAATATACATGTAATTTAAACATCTAGTTTTTTTAATGTTCAATGCATTTACATTTTGCTGAGATCTGTAGAAAGAAAAACCGAGGAAATATTGAATTACCGATTGAGTCAATGTTTTTAAACGAATCAATATTGGCTATTGATTTTAATACTATAAAAAAACCTTCTGATACACGTTCAGTTAGAGCACTTCATTCCATCGACGAGAATTATCATACACCAATTATTCGTTCATTTCTTCCTCTCATCGCAATATTTGAAGAAACCGAATTATTACTATTTTCGATATAGATATATATTCATGATTTAGTGTCACACATTACATTTTATATTAAGAAATAAAAGTTGAACACATATATGTGAAATATAGTTTTTTTTATATTTTTAATTAATTCTAGAAAATACATGTGCTTCGAGAATTTAAAAATCATACTGCCAAAAAGAATCAATTGAAAACAAATGCATTTCCCTTACGTGACACATAAATCGTTTATAAATTTAATAGTACATCATTTCTAGCTTATTGTTAGCTTATTGCTATCACATAAGTATCTTATTTCAGACAGCTATCATTTTATTATATAAAAATCATGTAATTTACTAGTTATTTCATGGTCAAATGAAATGATTGCAAACTGCAACGAAAGAAACGATTCGTGTCCTATTTCGTTCGAAAGCGACATCTGCGTTCAAAAGCATAAACTAACCTCCAATATCCAATAACCGTTAAAGTTCAACCTAAAAAAAAAAATGACTTCGTACAAGACAATATCTCTTTTTCACATTGTTTGAAAGTTTTCATTTCCAGTTGCTCGCAAAATTAGAACACATGTAGAAAGTTTTTTTACGAATGTATCACGTGTTATACAAAACGCGATTGTTGGATTTCCACGCAATTGTTAGCACTGTAACGAGATACGATCAAATGTAAAAGCTTCCTGCAATAAGTGTCCTTTGCAAGCTACGTTTGTAATTTAAATTTCAGTACCTATAACGCCGATGGGAAAAAAAGCGGCGTCCCCTCCACGCTTCAAACGTTGCACACGTGAACGTGTCAGAGGATTCGGTAAGTAAACGTCGGGCAAACACGAAGGCAATTCCGAAGGAAGTTGCATCGATAAGAAGCACCATTGGCGACAGACGATCGTTTCTCCGGAAAAGGATCGTTCTCACTCGTAATTCGCGTGTTCGCAGGCATATCTTGTCGATAGTTAAGCAAATCCATCCACTAATTGTAAACGACGAATAAGTACGCAAGAGATAATGACGACATTGCGCACGCGCGGCACCAGCTTATGGCGGGCGAAATGAAGCGGCGGCCATGCGCATGCGCAGCACCGACTCAAGGTGCTCGAGTCCGACCGGCGAGAAAGCAATCACGCTACTGCTGCGCCGACCGTTGTCGGCGTTTGACGCGTTTTCGTCTCGTGCACGCGTGGGGCAACGTCACTTGATTTCCTGTTCCGTCTATCCATTTCACACAAACACATACGTTCGTTCAAATGTGCGCGTACGTGCGCTTGCTAGAACGTTACTAATGTTAGCCGAGCATCGCGTATGTCGAATTACGAATGTCAATCGAAGAGGCTGTACATAATATATCAAACTGGTATATCTACCGATGTTATTTTGCAGACATGGAGCAATGCTTACATTTGCGTTTAACTAGTATGTCAAACTAGTTTTCGTTAGTTATTGAACTGATTTATGGCTTGCTTGCTTCTGTTAAGCTGGTAGAGAGAATTAACAAGAGAGAAAGATTAAGATCGATTTTATTGGTTCGATTCGTAAAATCGTTGACTTGTAAAATCGATGATTTGTAACCAATGATTTAGGGCATCGTATTAGAAATTTGTTGATGTTATAACACAGAGAATTAATGTTAAAAAATATAAATACGGAATTTGGGCTTCAGTAATAAAGTTTCAACAAATTGTTCTCTTTATTCTTAACAAAAAATGACAATTTGAAGTTGGTTTTTTATTATGACGTTTCAATTCCATTTACTCATGCGCTAATTCATACTGTTCCTCTCGGTACTATTACGAATGACTTTGCATTTCTCTCTTTAACGAATCGCTATGTCACTATAGTGACTTCATAGGGATAATTAATCTACTAAATTAGTGAAAAGACATTTAATAACATTTGTATTATTTCATATATTAATTCGTGTTCACTCTATTTATTAGTGATTTATCATTGTATTGAAAATTTATTGTTCAGAAAATTTTTTATTGTAATCTATACAATTATTGGAAACGATATGCGCATAAATAATTTCATTTTTTTACATAAACATACAGCGGTCTGTGTGTTACGCAAAAGCATTCAATTAATAACATGTAATTATCGCAGTTAATTTCCTTCAATAATTTCTGGAAATTTTTGATAACAAAGTATTACTTCCAAAGATAATTCTTATCGCCATAAATCAGTAAAATAATACAAAACAATTGTCAATTGTGAAAGGTTAATTGTAAATAAATTTTTTTACCAAAAAATAAATAATAATAAATGACATAATTTGTGTTTTATTTATTCTCTATTTATTTCCTGTGCTTATATTGTCATTTCAATTCATTATAACTTAATTTTTATTTAACAATCTAAGAAGTTTAGTAACTCTAAATTAACCTATTTAGATTTCAAGAATATTTATATATTATTAACCTAAAATATAACTTTAAGTTTAGTTGTATAAAATATATATGTAATATATATGTAATGTATAATTAATAATTTAATACGTAGTTTATTACATAGTTCAATATTGAATATCTTATATTAATCAATTAGACACACGTACATAAACATAATGCAAAAGACAAACAAGATATTGTAATATCCTTTATACAATGATTAAATACATTATATAATAAATAGAATAATAAAAGTCTTATTAATAAATAAAATTATATTTAAATTATCAGAAAATGTTTTTAAGAAATTCAATTTATCCATTTAACCTATCAAATATATCAGAAGATTACTATGTGATCAAAACATATCACATTTTAAACATAACATTACCTTATCACATTATTTCAGTGCACATTCCTTTCAAAGAACATAAAGATAAAAAAAGACAAAATTAAGATATAAGATTACTTAGATCTTAGAAAATATAAGATCTCTGTTTTAAACTAGCAAAATATTTTTGTATTCTCTCATGATACACTACATAAATATTTTTAGACATGGAAATTTTTTATCAAATTGAAATTATATACACACGTATATTAAAATCAAAATTGCAAAAATATTAGAAAGATATAAAACTTAATTTTTAATTTTCAATTTAATTAATTTGTATAATACTAGCATTATGTCTAGAAAATTTTCCCTCAATTAAAACTACTTTTTCATTTACATATCTACATAATGATTTACATCATTGACTTAATCACGTATTCTTAGATATTTTAGCTTATTTTTTTATACAGTTTCCTCATTTATGCATTAGTCTCTCTTCGATGATTCTAGCATAATTAACAGAAAAAAATGAGCAAAAAGCACCGAGTCGTCTGCCTTGGAATAAATAAATTAGGTTTTTGTAGAATAAAATTATTAAAAACTTGAAAACTTGGCAATGATCGTCTCAGAGTAACAATTCTCATCCATGCAGGCATTATCTCTTACAAAATACAACTTGAGATGTATGTAGACGAAAATCTAATTTAAGTTAACAGTTTCAACGTTCTTCAATAGGTTATAAACACAACTTGCGAATTATTTCGTTCTTATTTTATTTTAATAAACAGCATTAATAACTACACTTGTCAGCCAGTTGATACAACATGAATAAATAAATACGAATAGATAAATATAGCCGGTGATATTTATTTGAAAAGTAAACCACCAAAAACGCATATTACGCAAAGCACGACATCACTGATATTGCACAAGAGAAAATTCGTGGAAAATGATGTCTTTTTCATTCTTCTACTTTTGAACTTGGCAGTTCATTTAAATATATTTACACGAGGAGATTTACTTTTGAATAGATCAGAAATGATGATTAATAAAATATACGTACTGTACGTACACTACGTGTACTTTTATGCAACGCATCGTACTTTGTGCCTGCATGCATCAGATGTCACTAGCGCTTTGTTAATCGATCAGTGGTTCAATCAATTATCAAACAAAATATATTTCTACGAAAAGTCTATAAACTTTCTACTGCTGTTCTAAAATTTTAGTTATTATATTTATCAAAAACTTTTATATATTATAAATTGAAATCCAATACGGTTATTATCCTTCCGACGTACAATATCTTTGACAAAGTCAAAATTATAGCACGCGTCCGCAAGAATGTATTATATCAGTCATCAAACGTAGTTTATGTCATAGATTAAATTTTTTTAATTTAACAAGTAAACATGACAATTTAGTCTTATCGGTACAATTGCTCGGAAAAAGATTAATTGCAACTGAAAAATTTCTTAAAAAAATTAGGTGCATCCCTATTGTTTACGATATCGACCTCCAATTCTATGATAAGTACATATAATTACGGTGTCGTGTATATCAATAATTATATAGCAAAATATAATATATATGCATGATCTGTGGTAGTTGATTAATAAACATTTTGCAAAATTACAATAATTTTATAGAAAATTTATATGATAGAATGTAATATTTTCAAGAAAATATATTGATAGTAATTGTTTTTTTTCTCAAAATATTATGCAAATATCGCACTTATTGTAAAATAAAAGATGAAAACTACAATTTTCTTTATAATATCTTTGATATTTCAATGTGTGCATTTCAATGTGTTTTTAAATTTTGCGCCTTTGAAGCTATTGATCACAGAATTCTCCAAATGTTTGGAAGATGGCGTATTTGTTCAATCTCGGTTTCAATTACCGATAATTACAATGCATCGAATTTTTTAATTAAACTGAAGTATATTTTAATGTTATTTTAAATTATTGTTTGTTTGTTTTAAATTTAACGATATATATACAAATTTTAAGATTTTAAAGAAAAAAATTCAATGGCATTATAATTTACGAATTATTTTTTATATCCTTTCAATGATGACCTACGTTTTATTACCCAGAAAGAAACAAATTATTTAAAATTACAATATATAATAATTATTTAAACACTTACATATATTACAAAGTGCATATATTTACGTAAAATGTGGCATATATTCACATAAAATTGATTTTACCGACAATGCAATCTATCTTTCTTCTTCACTTGTTCATTTTTCTTCATTATGACCTACTTTACACGTGTTAGACATGGATTTAAGTTTCCGCCGTGCACAAGAAATATTGTGGCTTATTACAATATTTCCGACAATTAAAATAGAATAACTCGGCATAACTTAGTATTTTGAATAATTCCTCCATATCCAACGAGTATTTAATTCAAAGTATGCTTACAACAAGATAACCTTGAATATATAAATACGTGTATAAATACCCATATCCGAGGATACAAATCCTTAATTTTGCCATGACAAGTATGAATATTCAACATTACTTTGATATTCAAGGCCAGAAGGTGTTGAAACCTCATACATTTACTGGAAAATGAAATGAAACTCGATCAAATGAAATAAATTGTTTTGCGTATATCAAAAGTTAACTTGCCTGTGTGTACAGCAATATACACGTTTTGAATATCGCATGTTTTTTAATAATTTAACTTTAATATTCTCTCTGGCAAGAAAGGACACAATCAGAGGAGACAGCAGGGATTCAAATTTACGCGCGCAACATCGATAAGATCGTCTAACCTAGCCGACCCCTCTCTTTCGCATCTTATCCTGATCGATACTTTCTTATCGACTGTGCAGTCAGTCCTCAGCAGTCTCGAGCACTGCAGTTCTCGTGACACATTGTGTCGTATTGTGTCGTAATAACGCATCTTGAGAGGTTCTTTCTTAAAAAAAAGAGAGAAAAATAGAGAGAAAAAGAGAGAAAGAGAAAAAAGACGGAAGTGAGAGGCGGTTCGCCAGCGCGATAGACACGTTTGAACACGACCGATTGGCGAACTCCAGCCGTGCGTGTGCAATGTAAAACCCACGACGAGCCCGCGTGTGCCGTTAACTGGTGTGGACGACGATTTAGACCGAAGAAAGTCTTACTTTCGGTAGAGTCTTCTGGTTTCTCTTCTCCTTGCGATTGTTCTTATCCTTTCCTCTCCCACGCAAATCAGCGCAGTATGCGTTGAGCGCCCGGCGCCGGTCTTCATTTTCTGAAGTGTCGTGTTCCTTCGTTTCGGTGATGGATTAAAAGGGCAACGTGGTCTCCCCTCAGTCAGTCTCAGGTGAGTCCACTCCGTCGTGTCGATAGAGCCACATTTTATTACAGGAACATCGTCTATGTGACATCGAGCGTGGTCGATTTTTGTTTCATCTGTCGCGCGATATCCTGTAATATCGAACAAACGTCGACTTGACTTCGCATATTTCTCGTCTCGAAGAAATCAACGGGATGGATGACAGATGTGAGGGAATCAACGGTTACGAAAAGGCAGAGAAAAGAAACAGCAGACTGAAAGAATGAATGGCGAAGTATTCAAATTCACGGAATATCAAGCGTGCAAGTAACTCGGAACGAAATAAACGTATATCTCTCGAAAAAACGTACATATTGTTATCGACAAAAGCTGGGAATGAGGCAATACGTAAAATTGGGAAATGCCGAGTGTATGAACAAATGAAAAGATCAACGTGAATTTAGTTGAGATTAGATAAAAGTACGTGCGTAAATGAGTAGGATTTATGAACAAAAACGAGGAAGTTTAATAATTTTGGTTAGTGAAGAAAATTTATCGAAAAATTTATTTTCAATTTTTTTTCGATATCGAAATAAATTAACAGCAGTAAATTGGCACGTATGTATGCATAGACGGATGAACATGAGATCTTAATGAAATTTTGATAAATATTAATACAGTTAATACAGAAGGTTAACTTTATAAACAGTATCCGTTATGTAAATAAACGTGTGTACATGCGTTTTTCCGTGTCAATGAGTCAGGTAATATACAGATGATTAAAAATTGAGGTATTTGATTAACAAAGTATTTAACGTATAAAGCAATAGATTAATGAAATATTTAATCGATTGACGGAGTATTTAACACGTAAAGCAATCGGAAATTAGCGTCAGTGAAAATTTATTTGTCGATAATGTAGCTCTGAAATTTACCATCAAAATGGTGTTAAAGAGTTAGTTTTAATTTCTCTTTCAGATCTGCGTTTAAACAGTTTATCAGGCAGCATCAGGGTGTTGGCGAAATAAAAATATAAATTCAATGATTTTTCACGAGACAAAGACCAAACACTTATCACATATGAATTTTTAATCTAACTTAGAAAGCATCTTGCAGATATTAATGCATTTATTTCCAACGTTGAGATAAGAAAAAACTGTGAAGTACTGAATACTTTTAACAAACACTTGAAGCATGATTCTCTCTACTTGAAATTTTCATTCGTTTTTGATGGTAAATATTTTAATAATTCATGAATACAAATAGATAGTTGAACAAAAAGGAAATGATTGAATAGCGTTCGATTTTAATAAATATATAACTGAAAACGCGTTCTTATCATTTTATTTTTAAATGTATGAAACATTGTATGTATGTATATATGTACATGCTTTTTATATATATGTATATATATATATATGTATATATGTATATGCTTTTTCGTCGAACGTTTAATCAGTCAGAGTAAAAAAACAGTAAAGATAAAAGAGGCGTGGAGAATGATCTCTGAAATGGGATTGTGAAATTATATCCACAAGATGCTCGCGTGTAATCATGTTGCAACATTGAAAACTCAATTGATAATTTATTTGTGCTTTCGTGGCAGGTAATTTTGCTGAAATATTTTTCTTCGCCAATATGACCGTTTGTCTCTGAATTCTAGCCAACAATTGACAAACGTACCACGTGCTTGTGTTTCGCCGATCGATACGAAATTACACGACAATAACAGTGAAAACAACAAAGCATTACTACGTACCAGTGATTCACGGGTGGGAATCTGCGAAGTATATACATACATGCATACATAGCTCTCTATTTGTGTAGCAACTTTCAAACATCATAAAAGAACGAACTGTTCGTCGTTTTAAGTGAGTCATCCTTTAACTGCAACCGACTGATTATATAATGAAGAAATGTATAGCAACACGCGGGAGAGCCACGTACACTGTGTAAAGAGGTTCGCGTCCGCGCCGAAGTTCGGGCCATTGCATTTGGAATCGATAGAGGTACGCAGATGTATTAAATTGGTCAAAAAGTAACGATCGTTACTGACTGTCAACTCTCAAGCTAAACTTTGGAAGGAGAGAGAGAGAGAGAGAGAGAGACTCGTGCTCAAAATACAGATTTCACCTCGATTTGTACATTTTTGCAGAGATAAGGAAGAATCTTTACATCTCGGGGAAGAATCTTTACATCTCCGACGCCTTGAAGATTGTCAGGAAGTAAATCAAAGAAATAGAAGACAGAGATCGAGTCCCGAAAGACGCGCTAGACAGTGTCTCTCCCCGCGTGGGTTATCTTTCCTTTTATTGCCACGTGGTGGCGTACCACTACGTCATTATTTCCCAAGTTATTTATTCACGGACAATTGGATTAATTGGAATTCAAGTTTTTGGTGTCGGCTCGCTACCATTTCGACAAACATCAAACGTCGTACGAACCTACTAGTGAAATTGCATTAATCCTTAGTACTTTTATACTGATTTGAAAAGTGGACCAAAAATCACTTCCTACTAAAATAAATTCGTAATCTCTTTATTATATATTTAAAAAAAATCTTTTTTTTTTACAGATTACAAAGTACATAATGTTTGAACTTAAATTCAATTTAAAATTAATAAAATTAAAGTTTTTTCTTATGTTTTGATGTTTTGTGTGTGGGAAGAAACTTTTGGCCCATCCCGTGTATGTAGAAATCACGAGATACATTTGGAACAATTTTCTGCGAAAACTTTGTTACTTTACTCTTTACTGAGTGTTACAATTTCAGTGTCGACTTTTATCGTCCCATAAAACTGAAGTTTGTGACTTGTTTTACTTTCTATAAGATAGAGTCATCCTGTTCAAATACGCAAACGAATTACATAATACGGACACTGATATTACGTATTACTTACATCATCGAATTATCATTTGTAGCGATAGAAACCTGTTCCAAGCATGTTTTCGAAATCTTTGTTTGTTAGAGCAAAGAGATAAATTACATTTCAATTTAAGTGGAATTTTCCTCCAAGTACGTGGAATAATTGAATGTAAATTTCTTAATACAGAAATCTGAAAGCAAAATTTATTTGAAAAAGAAAAAAAGAGAGAGAAAGATCTGGAGCACAATTTAAAAATTGGTTAAATTATTTTGCTGAAATTGTTTCGATGAAATGAGGATCTAAGACATAGAAGAAGCTCACTGCAATTTTAAAAGATTCTTGAAACAAAATTGTATCATTAAGAAAAATAATGGAAGTCGTGATCGTTTATGATCTTCTTTAAATGATCATTCGCAAGTTCAAAAATACTTTTATTTTCAATTTTAATTTTTACACGTACACAGATTTGAACCAACGAATTTACGTCACGGTGATTACGACCGGCGGATGAATCATTTCATAGAAACTTATCCGGATCATTTTATTTTATAAAATGCTCTGATTCGTGAATCATCGTACATCTATAGTCTCGCGAAAAGTGTGACATGTGTTACGCATATGTGTGTTATCAATATGTGATTTTTACGAATAGTGAGCATGTGTTACGCACATGTGTGTTATCAATATATGATTTTTACGAATAGAGGAAGAACATTGACAAATTCGCCATCTGCGTTTACCATTTTTACTCAACATTGCCAAATCACGAGTCAGTTCGGAACGAAAAAGAAAAATGACGATTCCAATCGAAATAATTTATTCAAATAGATACTGTTGTTTTTTTTTTTTTTTCTTTGCACCTATTAAATACTCTTTTCTTTGTTCTTGTTTTCATGAAAGTAGGATATAAGGTTAATTTCATTTGGAACAACAGACAGCGCTGTCTCAGCGCTAAGAGGGTAATGATCGCTTTCATATTTTTCTTTTTTTTCTCCCCCACCACTGTTTATTTATAGAAGGGCAATCGTTACTTCTCTTGCAGACACGCGTTATGTAAATTCATTTCACATACGTATTGCGTACATTCGTGT